ATAAAATGATTATTCGTCTTAAGTAGGTATTCTATTCTAGAAACCAGAGTTTCGAGCGTTTTTAGGCTATTGATATTTTACTACCCACTTTTCATAATTTGTTTATGCATAATTTAAGAGTGCATAAAATAAAAACAAAATAAATAAATTTCGTAAAGTTATGCGTCCTGGAAGGGGACATAAAAAAGGTCATGTTCTCGTCGTCACGATTTCTATTCATCCTGTTAACCGAAAAATAAAACAATGTCTCCTGATTAGTACAAATGTCATTATAGTATGAACTAAAAAAACTGAAAAAACAACGTTTTCATAAAATAAAGGTCAGCTTTTTCACAAATTAGAAGTTAAGAGTTTTTGTTGTTTCCAAGTTAATCGACTGATTACAACATGAGAAATCGTAACGAAACTGTTTTTAATCTCTTCTTAACAATTGTAAACTTTCAAGTTGTATAAAAAAAAATATGGAATAAACGTAAGTTAGTGTTTAGTATGTGTAATTACAGTTAGGAACACGGGAATACCTAAAATCAATAAGTGTAAACATGTTTTTAAAAAGTGTTTATACTATTCTTTTAAAATTATTAATTAGTTTAGCGGCGGTTGCATGTGCTTTAAATTACTGGATCCATTTTTATACTCTCGCAACCTGTTGCTACAGAGTATAATAGTTTTGTTCACCTAACGGTTGTGTGTATCACCTAAAATTAATCGAGTTAGATATAGGGTTATATATATATAAATGATCAGGATGAAGAGACGAGTTGAAATCCGGGTGACTGTCTGTCCGTCCGTCCGTCTGTCCGTCCGTCCGTCCGTGCAAGCTCTAACTTGAGTAAAAATTGAGATATCTTTATGAAACTTGGTAGACATGTTTCATGGTACCGTGAGACGGTTGGTATTGCAGATGGGCGTAATCGGACCACTGCCACGCCCACAAAACGCCATTAATCAAAAACAAATAACTTGCCATAACTAAGCTCCGCAATAAGATACAAGACTGTTATTTGGTACACAGGATCACATTAGGGAGGGGCATCTGCAGTTAAAATTTTTTTTTTAAAAGTGGGCGTGGTCCCGGCTCTAATAGGTTTAATGTGCATATCTCCTAAACCGCTAATGCTATAATAACAAAATTCACTGGAAGCAAATGTTTTTAGCATTTCTATTGACGGTCTGAAAATAGTTGAAATCGGGTGGCAACTCCGCCCACTCCCCATATAACGGTACTGTTAAAAACTACTAAAAGCGCGATAAATCAAGCACTAAACACGCCAGAGACATTAAATTTTATCTCTGAGATGGTATAAGATGACTTTATAGGAACCGCGTTCAAAATTAGACAGTGGGCGTGGCACAGCCCACTTTTAGGTGAAAACCCATATCTTGAGATCTGCATAACCGATTTCAACCAAATTCGGTGCGTAACGTTCTTTTCATGTTTCTATGTCATAGTGCGAAAATGGGCGAAATCGGATTACAACCACGCCTATTTTCCATATGACACCATTTTAAATACCACTTGATTCTTTCACTTTCCACTATGCAAATCAAGCAACAATGATTATATCGGCGTAAAACTTTGCGTGAATAATACGTTTAAAGTATGCCACCTTGTGACCAAAAATTTTCTAAATCGAACCAAAACTGTTCAAGCCCCTAAGTACTAAATATGTTGACCCCAGTGCCTGTAGTTGACCTTCTACCGAAAATATCAGTCAATCCACAAAGAAATCTCAAACGAGTATACCATTTGACTTTGCGAGAGTATAAAATGTTCGGTTACATCCGAACTTAGCCCTTCCTTTCTTGTTTTATTTGTTTTATTTAACATTTTATTGACATTTATAATATTTAGTCTATAATTTTCATGTTTTAATAACATCTTAGTGCAGCTTTGAGATATCTTAGTATTGTTATTTATGTAGTTCAAATACTTTAATTACAGTGAAACTAGCATAGCTCCAACAATTTATGTTATAAAATCTTAATTATTTCATTTTGTTTAATATTTTATTTTAATAATTTTTTAGTTAATCGTAACATAGATATGTCGTTGTTACCATTCTAAAATTAATATGGATTTAAATCAGATTTAGGTATATAGTGTTTGAATTGTCAGCATAACTATTAGTAGTATAAATATGTTTAAGGGTAGAAAATGTCACAAATTTGTAAAGTATCAGAACTTAGGAGTTTATCCTAAAATAATTTTCTGATTTTATTTTATGAACAACTTCCATGGGGTTTAACAGCACAGCGGCATAAAATAGCTGAAAACTCTTAAAAACTAACTAACTTGTTTTGAGGTCATGCACAAGCATTTCCACGAATTTATTGAAATGGTTGCACTCTCTGCATGCGTTCTGTTCACGGTTGTTTGTAACAATTAAAACTAATCAAGAGCGAAATAGATACAAATAAATTAAAATTATCAGTATGTTAAGACGAAACGTTTCTAAATGTCCGATTGACTGTGCAAGTGATAATGTCAAGTAAAAATTTAAAAATTTTGAAACATCCTGGTACAGGTGGTTTTTGGCACTCTGAAGAGCATATCAATGAAATTATCGAAATAGACATTAGGGATGATAGGGTTTTAAAAATGGGCAACCTCTCACTTTAAAATCCTCTGAGGAGGATATCAATGGAAATATCTAAATATACCAAAGCGAAGAAAGGGGTTTAAAGATGTTAAATGTTTCACCATAAAATGGTCGGAATCGAACTATTCCTTTTCAGTTATAAGTGGGTCAATGTGTAAATCACCTTAAAATAATGGGTAGAAATATTTCATAGAGTAGCTTTTCTTTAATGTCAATATATTTATTTTTTTTGTCCCTTTAATTAGTTGACAAATATATGGCTTATTGATGCTGTTGATAGGGGAACGAGTCTCTAAATTTCTTTCCTTTTGTTGGCCTGACGATTACTGTATGTTAAGCTTATATTTTGTAAATCTTGGGGTTTAAATTAGAATACAAAACTGTGCTTAAGTATAAGATCTTTCCAACAACAACAATCTATACACTTCTACCATAAACAGAGTGCCTTATCATTAGTGTACACATTTGGTACTGGGTAAAGACATGTTAAACCAGCGGACCTTATAATGAAGGAAAGAAAGTAACAAATTTATTGAATGATAGTTTCAAAAAGTGAAACAATTCTCTAAAACATAGCATGCTCTTAAAAGAGTAGATGTGTTGCTTTAAGCTTGAAATCATCACATTAGTGTTTCCACACGAGTTTAGACAGTTATTTTTACGTTAATAATTATTTTTTTCCAGCGTACTCCTTTGTGCTGTCATTTATTATTTTTAAGTTTTGTGTAAGCGTTTGTTTATGTCTGATTTAATTAGGCAATATAAAAATGTAAATAATTTATACATGATAAGTGTATAGTATGCATGTATATTTATATACATATATGTAAATGGTATGCGCAAACACATACTAACTGACGAATAAAAAACAATTGTTTGATTATTCGGCGAATCAAACAACACAGTCAGACTTACACACTTGATCTTCGTGTAAGAGTTGCCATATTTCATAATAAAACGACAAATACAAATAAACTTATAACTTATATTAGCGGTTACCTACATACAATTTCTTTGGGAAAGACTTCGTCAGTAAAAAAAAGCGATTTGTAAAATTATGAAAACTTTAATAGTTCTTGAGATATTGCGATTTTAGTGAAAAACTTAAAAAGGCCACCTCACATTGTGAGTATACTTGTATTGCTTAAACCAGCTTTGTTTTCCATTCCTTAATTTTTACGGAAAATAGTTAATATTGAAATTGAAAAGTGCTATTTGTTTCAATCCCTTTTGAAAGGAGTAAAAAACATCGATGCCATCATTAATTAGTGCTACTAAAAAGTGCTATTTGTTTCAATCCTTTTTAAAAGGAGTAAAAAAGTCCATGCCATCATTAATTAGTGCCACAAGACTTAATACATCGATTTAAAGTCTTGTATTATCATGTATTTTGCAGACACTGATGACCGGCTCATAATACAAATTTTGAACGATTTGTATATTTTTTCCTGATAATTTCCTGCCTAGTCGAGGATTTGGTGTAGGCCATATGCAATACGAAGTTGTGTAGCGTTCCTAGCTAGGGTATATGTCGCTCTTTTGACAATTTAAGAATACTCTGGTACCATTGTTAAAATTTTAATTTTTCAAGATTTTCTAGGGTTCTTTTTTAACTCCTCTTCAATTTTATCAATGAATTCTTTTGTTTTTGTGCTTATTACGGTCGAAGGTTTTACATTGCCTTTTTATCCGAGTGGTCAGGCTGAAAGAACTATTATTATTTCATCGCATACTACATTTTCCACAAAATTGAAAACATCTTTGTTTGTGTAAAGACGACAAGAATTACAAAAAAACTTTAAAATTAAAATTATTTCAATAATTTCTTTTGAAACGGAGGATAGTTTCATTATTAGTTTTTAAATGTTTCCCCATTTTTCAACGGATTGAAGCAAACGGACCTTTGTGTTGTAATGAATAATTAATCATTCTAGGCGAAGTTAAACTTAAATACGCTCTAAAAATACTAATTTCAACTAAATAAAGAGAATAATAAAAGTAGCACTCAGAAAGACAAGGAAAAATACTTAAAAACTATCGATGAATGAAAGTTGTAATTCCAAGCAATCGGTATTTCCTTATTAAAAGAACAAAAATTAGGCCTAATGAACTAAAAATTAACAAACTAAACTACGTATTTTTAAATATTTCGTCTGCAAATTTTATCAGTTGAAAGCTTTCGAAAATATCAATTAAAAACAACGCAACACTCACTTTCAACATAGCGCAGCGGGCGTCAATTTACAAATTTTTCAAAATCCGTTTAGGGTTAAATGTAACTCATATAAGACTATTATTTCGCAAAGTTTCAAGGAAATCGGAAGATCACTTGCTTTGGAATCGCTTTTTCCTGACAAAGCCTACTAAAATATAATGGACCTAGATATTCATATGTAGTTAACTATTAATTACTCTAAGTTTATTGTTTCGAACCGTGTAGCGACAGCGGTTACCTTTTTACGTCGAATGCTGCGTATAACATGTAAAAAATAATTTATTTTCTGGTTTTTCCAGGCTTAAAATGAATACTGTTTAACTCTTACTATAAGTCTCTCGACACCCATGACATATTTTCGAACTCTTTCACATTGTATGTGTTCGTGCCATGGCGTCTTGCCTCTTTGACTAACTAAAGACGCTACGTCATAAATTGGTCAATTGGGATTTACGCTGTGCCTCCAGCCTGATTTCTAGCATTGCATAGGCCGGCAAGCTTAACACTAGAATTATAACCATGGTAATAATCTTCGGTGTTTCACACATCAAACCATGCGCTGCGAAGGTGATACCAAGTCCGAGAAAACGTAGTCCCTGCAACGGACTGGTGACATCCGTAACGTGATTGGCGTGATTCAGCGTGATTAAGGCCATTAGAAGCGTTTCCCACATACCGTTACATGCGCCCCATGAGGCAGCCAGTACATAGAAAAGCGCCATGTCATCACTCGATGGCTTCCAGCTGGATAAAGCAAGTAATAGACATGATTGGAAGAAGAAACCGGCCACTGTGAGGGAAACGTGAGAAAATATGAAATCAATAAATGATTGTCAATGAATCTATAAATGAAAGGTAACTGGACTTACAAATAACCACGATGCGTTTGGTGTGACGCAGCAGCATGCTTAAGGTGCAGGAAACTATGCATTGCATGAGACCCATGCCGACCAAAGCACCTGCCACCATGCTAATACCCAAGGAGCAGGAGACAAATGCCTGTCAATGCGAGTAAAAGTGTATTTTTGTATGTGAAACTCAACTGAGAAGAGAGTATTTACCCGCAAAAAGTCGCCTAACATATAGGCCTGTTCAGTACCTACGAAATACGCCATGGGTCCGGCGAACAATAACGTATCCGTAACACCTTTTATATGAACGTCGCGACGAAACGTGCCTTGTATACGCCCACCGAAAAAGGATAAAGCCGCCGCAGCTAATGTGAATAATAAATAGGTGCTTATCAGCGTAATACCGCCGCCAGTCGATCTTTCATTAATGAATTGTGTGTAAATCGTTTCGTTGGTGCCGTTGCTCGTATCGTCAAAAGTGTTATCCTGATGCCAAACGGGGCACATATCGGCCCCACAAATTCTTTCACCGTGCTCATTGTGATAGTAAAAATCATCGAAGTACCCCGGTATATTGGGTAAAAACCCGGTCATACTGTAAGAATGTGAACGCAGAGCCACTGCCTTCACAATATTTTCTGTCAGATTTTCGCTGGGCAGTAAAGTTGCTTGTGTGTCCATTGACACTGTTTCGCTACTATCAAAGCAATTCCAATCACTGGAGCTACAAGCCAAAGTTAATGATGCCAATAGCGTGCCCAGTATGATGCCCAGATCTTGTGCCACCTGAAACCAACGCGCCAAACGGCGTACCTTTTGATCGCGATTACAGAAGAGTTTATGCTCATCTATCACATCCGTGGTATGAGAGGAACTCAGCATGCACTCATGCTGGGAACAGCTCAGCTTGCTGCCAAAGTGCACCACCAATGCTATTTTGCTAATCCATGAAGGGCTGTATGTGACACCGAGCAGTATATATGCCGGCAGTAGCGTAAATATGGAGGGAAAAAGGTGACATAAGAGAAAGATACTCGCCGCGACGTAACTGGCGCCAATCACTGTTGTATAACCGAATTTTTGTATAAGGCGTTTGGTAAATAGGCACATAACGGCGGAGATCAAAAAGCAACCGCTTAATAGAAGTGAGCCGATATTGGGTCCCACATGTACCCACTGTTCGCGTTGATGCCAGACAGAGTTGGAACCTTGTAGCGCGAAGAGCGGCAATAATACGCCGCATATCAAACCGTGCGCCACCGCTATGCAGATGAAACTCTGGCACACCTTATGTCGCACGTGTGGCGGTATCTTATGACGGCAGTTGCGGTTATTAAGTGTAATAAGGCGTCGTATCGATGCAGCACCAATGGAACTGTTCATGGACTCACGTCGACGAGAGGCGGCCAATGCGGCTTGCACCTGATATGATGAGACTGGATTGATACGGTGTGAACGTGTGGAAATTGGGGAGTATGCGGCAAGATGCTATTGGAAGAAATTATAGATAATTTAAGCGTTATCTCAATTAGAAGTTGTAAATTTGTTTGGATAATTTGAAACATAAGTTCGGCTGATAGTTCTTGGCCGGGAAAAAATCCGGTTCGTAAGGGTTGTGTAGAACGAAATGTCTTAGGAACAGCGGTTACAAGTAGTTTTGATATAATTGTATAGTAAAAAATGATTTTACGTAAGTGGGTTCATGGGCTGTATACTTGTATGTATGTTATGATCAAGTCTAAATGAGGAGCTTTATAATCTGCCAAAGTGTCCAGAGCGCAAATGGACGAAAGATTCCAAAGCAAATTTGAATTTAAAAAAAATTTGGTTTATTTTTTGAAAAAATATTTAATGATCTAAACAGGGTCATAGAGCCAAAATAAAAGCCATATGTAAAACTCGGTGCATAGAAAGTTCCACATAAATAGGTGTCATAATGGCTTTACCAAAAAGTATGGTCATATTTCTAGACCAGCAAACAAAGCGCCCACTTCTCAATTGATGGGTTTACTACTTTCCGTTTCATTTAATATACACCGAATACGTAATACGAAATGTGCCCCAAACATTAACAATAGTTAATATTGTTTATTACTCTTTAATTCAACAAAGTAATGACATATGACATTTCCTCTACCACAAATGCTCATAAAATTTCTTGAAGGATAATTGTTTTTCAAGGTCAAAATCGTAATCTTATTAATTGAGTAATGCTCTTATTTTCATTCAATTATCGTCATATAATTGCCGAGTAATAACGCTCAGTTCTCTGTAGGCTACTATGACAATAAAGGTACGCCAGAACAACGACGAAACGAAAACAAAAGTGCTCATTGTGCAGAGTAGAAGTGAGCAGGAATAAGTAAATGCTAGCAACAATTTATTTTCATTGGTCTATCCTTTGCTTATTTATGTTTTTTGAAGAAGTTATTGCAAACTGTTTGGGTAGGACAGTGCATGCCAGTATTTAACACCTCGCTTTCTCTCCCTTGTAAATTGACCAAATTTCGCATAAATTACTGTGGTCATCGTTAAAGTGTACGCTTCGAGAAAATTTCAAATCCGTCATATACATACATTTGTAGGTATGTATGTCTAAATGAGCTTACCTCCATCAATTGTTCATCCCAAATATTCTGTGTCGCTCCAGAACTTCTTGTGCGTAGCACTCGATGTCGTGTTGTTAGCGAATGTCGATGATGTTGATGGTGTTTCGTGAGTAATGCCGGTGTGCCTAAGCCAAGTAAAGCTGCACCACCTACTGCAAAGCCACCTAAAGTAGTCGTAGCCGTTGTGGCTGGGGTATTGGCGCTAACGCCGAGAACACCAGTTGCTGCGGCTGTGCCCGTTAGGTGAGAAGCTCCGACGGCAGCTGCCATGCCAAGTGTTCCACCACCCATTCCCAAACCAGCCATTAGGTAGGCGTTGTAGGAATTTTGCTGCAGAAGTAAATAAACCATAAATGTGTATATATAAAAACTGTGTGCATGTAAATATGTATACCTAAATATATTAAAAAATAGAGAACAAACGAACACGAAAAAAGAGAGGAGATAAAATAATTGCTCTTAAGATCCGGTAAAATTTAAGAGTTGGGAAAGAATATAAGGATGACTCAAAAATATAATCTCTCAATCTTGATTTTGAACTAAATTAAAAGAGCGCAACATGGTGAAATGTGGAACAACCTTTATGATTAAAAATAAAGAAAACAAAGCGATAACATTAATATGAAGCAGTTTTCACAAAAAGTTAGTGGCAAATACTTTTCTTTTAGTAATATAATCCGCTTCGAAAGCAAAAATTGGTTATAATTATCAAAACATATAAAAGAGTTTTCCATTAGTTATTTATATCGGATTTAACGTTAATACTAAGTAAGTAAGTAACTTTACTTACTTTATCATACTTTGAGAAAATTGGATTTTTAATCTTTTTCCCAAAGTATGACTTTTGAGGTTTGGTAAAAAATTAGCGCGAATTTTGTATCTTTCAAGAAAGAGTTTATTTATTCATAAATATCTATTTTATCCACTTCAAAATAATCACCCCTAGTTATAATGCACTTACGCTATTAGGTAAGTAGATATCGGTCAGGATGTAATACATGTAGGCCATGAAAATTCGAAATTCGCGATACTTTTTAAACAAACCTCGTATTTGGCCAAAACAACACATTAGTGGTGCCGCAGCCACCGTATTCCACAGAATTACGAGATAAATATACAAATTTAGCTTGAGAGAAATTTGCTAACATATTCTCGTAAGCGGCTTTCGTCAAAATTTCAGTCTTTTCACCGAATCGGACTTAAAATGTAGTTTTTACTGCGTGTGGAAGAGGCCTTTCTGCGAATTTTAGAAAAATGAAAAAGAGCATCGATTTGTGACCATCGAGGAAACCTTGATCAACTGATATTCACCAGATCCAATTAACAACAGTCGAACAACAGCGGTCTACATGAAGGTGGTCAAGGAAAATCCCCGGCCACCTCCTATGCATGATAGTTCGGGTTGGCATCATGGTATGCACAAGCTGCTCAGGAGTGGCGACGAACGGTCGGCTTCCCCATATAAGGAAGCGGTAGCCTGGGTTGTAAAGGTCTGGAAAGGAAAGGAAATTAGAGGCTTTGTCCAAGATGTATCTTTTGTTCCGCCTTCGTGCTCGTATCTGTCTTCCATCGGAACTCTTTATTCTTGAAGTGATAGATAAAATATTGCGATATCCCAATTCATCGCTTCCAAGTAGCGACTCGAAAGAAGTGTGTAGGATGAAGATCGTTCAGATTAATTTCCGTATCGGAAATTCTACACTACTGGAATTCTACATTGTTTTGATTGCATTTCTGACAATAAGGATCGCGGAACCTTCTCTTGGCGATTCCTTCTCTGCTCATACAACTGAGAGGAATTTGTGGACGAGGCGAAGCCGTTGGAGAAGAGATGCAGGGAGCTTTTTCACGAAGTAATTGAAGCTAAGAAGATAAGATTGTCCGGTGAAAACCCCGGTATCTGCAAAGGGGATGAGGAAGCTAGGGAGGGTACCATTACCACAATTTAATCCGATTGAGGAGGTATTCCGCTGTTCTTTTTTCGCTCTAGCGCTGCATCTATGGTTAGCTGCATCTCCCGTTAGCTCAGCAAGCGCTGTTCAATAACAAGAACTTTTCCGGCTTCCAGATCCTTCTGGCCAAGACTGAATCGCAAGAGGTCCTATGAATTTCTCACTCTCAACAAAGTCAATCTCGTAGCAATTGTAGGTATTCTCACTTGACACTTAGCCCGGTGCGGCTAAATATTTACCAAAGTTGTATGGAGTAGGTGGAATCATCTAGGCCCTTTATCCTCTGAGATTGAAATGTCGCGGCAGACACACCTTCAGCGAACCCTAGGATGGGATTGATATTAACGGCCTTTACAAACAGATATGTAGTAAGCTCAAAAAGTCTGGTTGATCTTTGAGGATCTGGTGATCCATTTTTAGGTATCACAAATAATCATTTGGTTACGCTAAAGTTTTATATACATACATATATTGGGTGACCACAAGGTCACGATTTCCTCTATAACAAAGTAATGAAAATGATTGTTAAATTGTAGGAATTGCGTTTCGAATTGTTTACGTTTATCATTTAGGTACCCGTAAATAGTATTATACATAGTTCGCTTCTTCAAAGGTTGCGTTAGTCAGCCAGAATCTCGAAAATTTGTCTATTAGGTATATGGGGACTAAGGAATTATTGATCCGATTCAATCCAGTTTCGACATACTATTATTAGGAAAGCATTCTCTCCGAATTTCTATAATATTTTTCAGATGTTGACCGTTATTTTCGATAAAAAGTTCCATATATTCGGTTTATAGTTTTGGTTTGATTTAGACAATTTTTGGGCACAAGATGGCACAATTAAAGTCACTATTCGTGTAAAGTTTTATTCCGTTATATTTGTATACTGGAAAGTGAAAGAATCATATGGCATTTAAAGTTGTGGTATATGAAAAATAGTCGTGGGTTTAGTCTGATTTGGCACATTTTCATACTGTAATATAATAATAATTTTGGTATAATATTACCTGACGAACTTGGTTGAAATTTATTTATTTAAAGACGCGCGCTTTTAGTATTTTTTAACAAAGCGATACGATGTCACCTATTTGCGCACTGTCGGTGGGGGTGCTAAAAAGATTTGTCCCATGTGAATATGGGTATTATAGTTTTAGGTTTACATGGAGATAGGCACATTAAACGTAGGGGGCGGGGTCACGCCCACTTTTCCAAACATTTTTAAATTGCAGGTGCGTTTCTCTAATGCGATTCCTTATACCAAATAAGAGCCTTATATCAGAGAATGTTAATAAATATTTATATATTATATATAAAATACATATATATATTTATTATATATATTTATTTATTAACATTCTCTGCTTATATTATGGAGCTTAGTTATGGCAATTTGTTGGTTTTCGATTAATGGCGTTTTGTGGGAGTGGCAATGGTCTGATTACGCCCATATCTATTACAAAACCTTCTGCCAAGAAACATGCGTACCAAGTTTTATCTTAATTTTCATTGCTCAAGTTACAGCTTGCACAGACGATTATTTTTAGGTGATACAAACAACTGTTAGGTGAACAAAACTATTATACTCTGCAGCAACATGTTGTAAGAGTATAAAAAGCATATTAAATATGTTTCAGCTTGTATCAAATATTTTTAGGGGAATATTGAATAATATAGTTTATTTATCTGTTTATGGAATGTGATGAAACAAATGATTTGTTTACAAAGGATTTCTATAAAAAATAAAAAATAAAAACTCCTCGTTTCACGCTTACCTTACGCTGTGCAAATAACGCCATTCGCTCACGCTCACGACTTGAATCACGTGCTCGTTGCTCTCGCAATTGCTCACGTTGCTCACGTTCACGGCGTTTTTCACGTCGGCGCTCTATTTCCTCCAACTCGTGCAAATTCGGTAAGCTACCCATGTTGACTGGCGTTCAAAAATTTAGACCAAAGATGCTTACTATAACGTTGTTGTTCAGCTGGGGGAAGCGTGGTGTGAAATGCTGCACCAACGTTAGCCAATACAGCTATGCATGTGTGTGTCCCGGTATGTACGCCACTTTATGTAAATATTGGTACTGTAGACTTGCGTTCAGTAAACGCGTTGATTATTTGTATTGTAGATGAAATCGTTTTGTTTCATGTGTTTGCTTATTTACTGATTCATGAATCCAGTATGCGAATTTTCATTAGTATGCCTTTATGCTGCTATTAGGTTAAAAAAATTTTAATTAAATGTTTCTTACTTGTTTTGGCTGCTTGGACCAGCCGTTTGTGGTAACGGTTCATTTAGTTATTCCAGGAGGCTTTAGCGGCGCAGCGCTTATACATACACAACAAATGGGGCTATTGGGATTATTAACTTTGTGATTACTTGATTACACACTTCGAGTGCAACATTTTTACAATTTTTTTGTTTTTTCTGAAGACTTGACTCAATGTTTTTATACGTTAAACTTTGTAAATGTGTATTATTGTTATTTTTCTGCACTTATATTATATGAATATCTCACATTTATGTACTTACATATGTGTGTAAGTAGTTATTAGTTTTCAATAGCTTTTGACAACAAGTAATCTGCTTTGCATTGGACACTCTGCACACTCTTGCCGCGTCTAGTTGCGCTTGACTGGCTGTTGATGCGGTTAGTTGGGTCTAAATGAATGTGAATTCAAAATGTGTCCTCAGTGCATATTTTGTTGTTGTTATAGTGAAAGTTATAATCAATGATTTGATTATCTTGTCGCTATATTGGTTGGTATTGTCACGAGCACATTCGTGGATAGTATAACATAATGACAGCAGGTATTGTCGCAGGCGTCTCCATAGTCATGTGCGTTAAGAATTCTTTAAATTTACGCGATATTACTGTTTTGCCTTTTGTTGAACTTCTAGTACATAAAAGAAAAGAACATTATTACAATTGTGGTATGCTTTATAATCGTTAAGCAGCATAGCACTAAATAATTTAAATACTAATGAAATAATTTAAGGAAAATATAGCTTTTTTTATTAAACAAGTATGGAAGGAAGGGCAAGTTCGGGTGTAACCGAACATTTCATACTCTCAACTTGGAAGGATCAGAGCTAGGGAAATTCAGATGTTGACAAAACTGTATTTTAAAAAATACTGCGAGAAAATTAAACATTTATTATTCGCCAAAATCCTGAATGGATTATAACTTATGATTATGACTGACTTAGTTTTATTATATTTTATATCGCGTCAGCTAAAACTATATAAAAAATATCTTCAAATGAAATATATCTGAAATAAACTTAACCGAAGAGGCTAAATTTAGGCACTCTTTTTGTATGGTTTTGTTTTAATATAGTCATTAGTGCTTGATTTGTATACTCGCGATTTCGCCATTTTTGTACTGTGACATAGGATTGTCTGAGTAATGTTACTTACCAAATTTGGTTGAAATCGGTCCAGTACATCCCGAGTTATGGGTTTTCACCTAAAGGTGGGGGGGGGGGGGGGGGCCACGCCTATTGTTCAATTTTTTTATTGTCTCCTATAAAGATTAATCGTGTCCTCTTATGTGTAAAATTTAAAGTATCTGACTTGTTTCCTAAATGACTTATCGCACTTTTAGATTATAACTAATCAAAACCGTTATATGGGGAGGGGGCGGGGTTATGACCCGATTTCACCCATTAGCACACTGTCCGTAGGGCTACTAAAAAGATTTGTGCCAAGTGAATTTTGATATTATAGTTTTAGTGGTTATATGGATATATGCACATTAAACCCATTATAGGGTGGGACCACGCCTCTTTTTAAAAATTTATTCAACTGCAGAGGCCTCTTCCTAATGCGATTCATTATACCAAATGACAGTCTTGTATCTTATTGTGGAGCTTAGTTATGAAAATGTATTGGTTTTATATTAATGTCGTTTTGTGGCAGTGGTCCGATCATCTCCAATACCGAGCTTCTCACGATACCAAGAAACATGTGTACCAAGTTTCATAAAGATATCTCAATTTTTACTTAAGTTACAGCTTGCATAGACGGACGAACGGACGGGCAGATAGTCACCCGGATTTCAACTCGTCTCTTTATCCTGATCATTTGTATATATATAACCCTATCTCGAATAGTTTTAGGTGATACAAACAACCGTTAAGTGAATAAAACTATTATACTCTAATAACTTCAAATCGACTAATTTATTCTCATATGATTAACTTGCAATTATATTTTGATTTTAATTGATTCGCTCTTTCTGAAAACTCCTAATCGTATAGTATTGGAAATGACTACTAGAGCAGAACTAATTAGAGAGAGTATAATAATACTAAATATATGCTTTTATAGTAAAGAATAGTAACATATGAGATATATAGTATATTTAAAAAAAGTATATTTGTATACTATAGCTAAACGTATGTATGTATTGTATATAGAAACATGTATGAATACATTATATGTATATAAATTGTAGAACCATGTGTGAATGAATGAATGCAATATTTATGCCATATTTAAATATGCTCCTCTGGTTCAAGACCTCTAGTTGGTAGTCCTTCAAAGTAAAATAATAAAATTTCGCGTTCCAACTTGGAAAGCACTACGGACTCGTCAACGACGAGGCAAATAAAACGGGCCAATCTTATAGAAACTTTTCATTAATGCTTGCGTTCATTGGTCCATACTTTTATAAACCTGAAAATGGAGTTCAACGCTACCGCCAATGGTGAGGTCCATAAGGAAATGAGTCGCGACTTTTGCTTCCCCAAGTCAAAATCAATCGCTTAAGTACTAATTATTTTCAGTAATAGGGTGTATCAAACGGTACAGTGCGGGAGACCATCTTTTTGGTGGGTTGAACTATTAGGCGCCGAAGCATATTAAAAACAAGTAAGAAAGAGCTAAGTTCGGGTGTAACCGAACATTATATACTCTTGCAACTTTCACGAATCAAAACCCGGGAAATTCCTTCAGGTGCTGGCAAAACATTATATTAAAAATGTTGCTAAAGAATTAAACATCGATTATTCAATGAAATCGTGAATAAATAACAATCAAATTTGGTATCTTCTTGACTTATATTGAAGGCCATTCTCTTAGACTCAGTTTTATTGCTAAAGTCGACCGGATGTTTAAAAATCCTGCTATTAGTTATATGGGGGCTAGGTCAAGTTTTCGCCGAATTTTATCCATTTTAAGCACAAATATACACTGTTATGATTAAAACACAATCCATCAGTTTTATATCTCACATATTGGCCGATATATGCGGTATAACGTCATACGGAAGTTCAAAAAACTTTATATTAGGTATATGGGGGCTATTGACCCCATGAAACACATTTTCGACATACATACTACTATCATACTATATCCTATTTGAATTTTAATTATATATCTCACACATTGACCGATATTTTCATTAAAAAGTGAACAATTGGTACTGGGGTCCACATATTCGGTACTTAGGGGCTTAAACACTTTTGACCTAAAGTAGCCGTGGTTGTAGTCTAATCTTTCATATTTTTGCACTGTAATATAGAAATGTGCGAGGAACGTTATATACCGAATGTGGGTGAAATCGTTCAAGTATATCACGAGATAGATTTTAACCTAAAGATTCGAAACCTTCGATTACACCCATCTACAATACCAACCTTCTTATGGTGTTAAGAAACATGTGCCTGAACATTTATGTGTGTATAACTCTATATCTAACTCGATTAGTTTGAGGTGATACGAACAACTGTTAGGTGAACAAAACTATTATACCCTGTAACAACATGTTTCAAGAGTATAATAAAACATGTGATTTGACTATGTTCATGGGATTTTTGTTTGTGGAGGTACGTGAAGTCTACGATTTATTGATAAGTCCGGCGAAAGTGGGGAACCTCGTGTAAAGTACGTCGAGAAGAACGATTTTTATAAGACTTCTTAATAAGTCTTGGTGACCACGTGCGAGAAATAGCGTACTAATAAACTCCAAATATTGGTGATTTAATGTATTTGCCTTTGTTATCTTCGAAATGAATGTCTCTGATAGGAACATCCTTCAAAGGCATTCATTGAAGGAAAGAAAGATAACGGTAACGTGGAATGAGTGGCTAATCATAATGCACAAAGTTGTTGTGTACGTACATACATGTATATAAATATGTATGCACATAATATTATGTAATGACATGTTCTTATAAGAACGAATTAGTAATAATCATAAAAAAGTTTGCCTAACGCACGCACAGCAACGCCAATCAGTTTGGCATCGTTGCCGCTATTTCGTTAAATACGTAAATTATACCTTACTGATGCTGAACGCTTACATCAAACACAAAACGCACGAAATAATCCGCAAATGAAAATATGAGGCGTTATGCGTAGGTTGAGGGACCAACGGCTGACTAACATGAATAACGAGAGCATTCTAGGGATATACTATGTATGTGTCCTTCTGGTCGCTTTAGCTGTTTTGCTTCATTTGGCTAGTACTGCAGGAATATAAATATGTACATATTTATAACGGAATATATTCTGTTATTGCGTGCTTTGTATGTATATGAAGTAAATCTCGTCGAGATTTTGAGTATTGTACATAATTTATTCTCACTCACAACTTCTACCGTGATTTGGTGGTATTAAAATTGTATGACAAAAATATTTAAAAACGGAAATAATTGTGTGATCATCAAAATTTGAACACATATAAATCACAGTCTTTGCAGTCGGCTACGGTATCATAACACTAACTTTTTATTATCCGAACCTGTTTAACAAATAGTTTCTTCAATCGGAAATCTCTCTAAATCAAAATTAATTTCTCGTTGTCAATAATTCCACCAACAGAAATTGGAGCGCTTAAAACGGCAAAAAATATAAAATTCGGAATTTCAACAAATGCTGTATAGTGAAATATCGGATCGCATGTTATGCTCTCAGTACCACTTATGTACAATATTTAGGCGGTAGAGGATGCTGAGAGATTTGTTATATGTAAGAATAAATAGTTTCTTCTTTTACTTTTTTAGAGTGTTTGACAGAAATTAGTTCATGCCGTCCAAAACGAAAGGAAGAGAAAACTTTGTTTACAATTACTATGAAAGCTTGACGTGGCTCGCTCTCTATTACTCGCTCTCTATTACACGCAATACGAAATAATATATCCACCACCTATTAAATATTCATAATAAAAAGTAATTGCGATAGACCAACTCTTTAGTACTAATATGCCATTATGCAACTTTTATGAGAAAGACAACCCACGACTCCACGACTATGAATATTGTCTTACATATTGCTACGTTAAATGTGATCTACTTTCAATTAGAAATATACATATTTCAATCTTTGTTACACTGAAAATTGATTATCTGTACTTTATTATCTTCAAAGCTCGTAATTTTTAATTTAAATAATTTTTAATAAAAAACATATTGTTAACTTTGAATTTAAATATTGTTTAATAATAGTTGTCCTACTGTACTTGAGGGTATTTTACATGTCAGCTACCACTTAGCATCATTATCTGGCTAACAGCTGTTTCTGCTTTCAGTGGATAGAGAACTTTGGTTTTGCAATTTTGATGACTGGCTATTCTGCTGCTCATATTACAAGTCGAAGTGTAAGCTAAGACAAGTCAATTTGACTGCAAAAATTGCGAGTTAAACATTTTCCATTTCTCTTTATAATATTTCATTTCTTTGCATTTTTTGAAATTTGTACATATGTACTCGTATACGAAAAAATCATAATGATTGCTACAAATAATATGAAAAATGTACGTAAATGTTTTGTATGCATCTTCGCGTGAAGATTACAGTAAGTAATATAACATATACCCATAGGATATATGATAAGATTGGGCAATATCTAGGTAAAATATTCAATGATGATAAAGAACTGTCTGAAACTGTC